CCATTACACCCTAGGAGGCACTATTGTGTCTGTAGGGGTCATGGGTCACGTGCGAGGTGGCCCCCAGGGGCGTAACAGGCTGTGTGTGGCGGGTTGCCTACCCCCCAGGCGCAGATCACTGGATGTCATATTTATTACGTTTTCATCACAGTAAAATACCTTTAGTTGTCTTGCATTACTGCTTCGTATGGGTCTTCATCATTCCTGTCAAAGAAATGGTTGTTATTCTTTGCATTTTAATTTTAAGAACCTATTTTTAAATGGTTCATACTTGTTGGCTTCGCACTGCCCGCGACAGCCAGTGCAGAAATGTGTGCACTTCAAACGCCCTCCTGGCTGCTTGCGGCACGAGCACGAGCTGTCTTTGCACCCTTTCTGGCAGCCGCACTTTACCAGCATATCCCTGCATGCATCCCAAATGCAGGACATGTCGGACCAGTGGGGATCCCAGCCACCTGCACTCGAGGGAAAAAATGTTTAGTTATAAACTTAATTTATTTTGGGTGATTGCATGATGATTATTTACTCTCGTACCTAAGTCTGACCGCCTCCAGCCCCACTTTGCAGGCGTGTCAAGTTCAGGTTGTGTCTCCAAGGCTTTCCCCCACAGGTATCCCGCCTGATACATACACCTCAGGATATGCTGAAGTAGGACACCTGCTGTGGGTGGGAGTCCATCGAGCAGCGACTTCTTGCATTCTTTAAATAGGTACTCTCGTGCTTGATCGACAGACTCCATGCCCGCCGGACCGCCATACAGTCTAATTACAAATATAGTAAGTGCGCTGATCATGCCCTCGGGTGGAGCCCACCAGGGTTTACCAAGGTCTTGGAATGCAGGGGTCACAGCAGGGAACTTATTCCAGGTGTTCCACGCAGATTTCTTCCCTTTAGTGTGAAAGCTTGATGTTGTATCACACCCAGTAAATGCATGGAAACCCATAAGTGCTAATGATTTATCTTGCCCCAGTTTGTTGGCGACGGCGTGCACAGCAATGTACTTCCGATAGTTTCCGGAACCAAAATCGATCCACAGTTTCTTTACGCCGATATTTCTGAGTTCATAGAAGTATGATACAGCTAGAACAACAACATCGGAATCGACAGACCTTATCACAATATTTTCGCAGCCATTCCGTGCAGCATCAGCGGCGTGAAGAATAAGGCGTGCGTCGGCCTCTTCTAAAACGCAGGGAAGTCCAGCGAGCTGCGTCCCCGCTGTCTGAGAGGCAAAGAACTTATCGCCAACGTTGGTTACGACAAGTAGTTCAGGAGACAAATTTAAGGACTGTTCTGCAAGCAGCTTGAAGAGACCGGTTTTGTTGTCGTCATTGAGTAAGAAATTTTTCCAGTTTTTGGGGAGTAATGTTTTGAGCAGTACTTGCATTTTTTGCCCACTTCCCCGTTTTTGTCTGGTGGCTCTCTTTAGGCTGGAAGGCGAGTACATGTCCCAAGCCAGATCGAGGCGTTGCTTACCCAGGTTGGCTGCCTCCCTTAACAGGTTTGGCTTGAAGTCTTTCAGCCAGTAGTCCGCAAATGTTTTGGACTTACGGGGCTCCCAAACGCGCAAAAGTATGCTGGCGTCGATGATGAGACAATCTGGCGATTCTGGGGCCGCGCCAGCCCCTTCGACGCCATCGGTCAGCAACGGGATGATTTCGCTCTTGTTATCAGGTAACCTCAGGTCGCCGTTCTTGCTGACAGATGGTGGGCACACCTGGTTCTCATAAGAGAAAAAAACTTTAAGATCTAACTGGCGGTGTTCACTCATTATGTATAACTGCAGAAAGAGTTGAGCATCCATCTGCAGACTCTTAATTTGGACAGCCTTTCCTTGAATATTTTTTGAGCGAGCGGCGAACACCTTACGGTTGAATTTTTTTATGGGGTCGAACACAGAGCGTTTCTGACCAATTATTCTCTCGTCGATGAAAGATTTGAGAGCATTTACGCCGTCTGATTCCATATTTCTGAGTGCTGTCACGGCATCTGGTCCCAAAATATCGCCCGTGTGAATATTAATGAGCTCAGAGCTGGTCTGAAGGAAAGGGTTTCCCCGCTCTGAAAAGCACTCTATAAGTGCAATTACTTTTTTTCTAAACGCAGTCTGAAAACCCCCCCAAAATCAATTAATATATTTTGAACATTTTACGTAATCAGTTAAAAGGCAGGGGCGTATGAAGGGGAGAGGGGGGGGGGAGGGTGTATTGAAAGTTACATACGTACGGACGTTTTGTTTTTCAAACTGCCTATTTTTCAGGAGGCCCACGGGAAATAGGGGAGGGGGAGGAGCCCCGCCCACCCTCTGTCCTACCCCCTTAGCACGCGCCTGATAGAGGTGTTAAATGCAACACTACCTGGATGGCACTGTACTGGTCATGTCGCGTCTCCAGTCCCTCTGTTGCTGCATTGATCTTAGTTGGGCTAAACTCATTCACCAGTTTTTGCACCTCCGGCCCAGCAAGCATCCAGCGCATCAGTGATTGCCTATCTTCTGTGAGTCCGATGGCACCGCCCTGTCCTTTAACCAGCTTGTTGTTTTGCTCGTGTACTTGGTCTGGTGACATTCGCGTGAATGGTTCCCTTGTTTTGGCAAGCGAAAAGAAACCCTTGGTGAAGGCAGAATGCACATCGGGTGCTGTATGTGGCAGCTCGAGAAGGTCTTTGAGGTGAACAGTTAGCCACCTAGCGTAATTTATTTTGTCCCACGAGAAGAAATGAGGCAGCATCTGTTTTATACTGGAGAGGTATCGGTCATAGGTTGAGCTGCGTAAGGAACCGACAAAACTTAGTAGCAACAACTCTAGCTTAAGTACAGTCCACCAAAAATAAAAGGTGGGAGAATCCACTTGCTCCTGTGCCCATTCACTCATTGTGGCCTCTGTATCACATAATTCAGTGTGAGCTTTTTCCAGCAGTATGTAGAGTGCCGCCGCCGTTGCTTCATGTGCAGCTCGTGACTTCTTGATGTGGTGTACCTTAAGTAACGCTTCAGCCCCTGCTTCAGATGATGTGATGCCCGCGTGTGTTGCTATTTCAGCCCACCCACACTCGTCCATGAAGGTGCCCAGTAGTCGCAAAAACGCCTGTTCTATATGCAAACCGCCCATAAGGAGGACAATCTTACTCTCGCCGTAAGTCTGCGGCCAGTTGCACTGTAATATTTTTCCTAGCGCAAACAAAGGCTGGTCCATGCAAATCGTAGGTGTTT